GGTTGTTCTTCGGCGGCGATTATCTTAAGAATGGTATCCTTCAGGAGTCGATATCTAATGAACACTTGTGTCAAGTGCTCCCTCTCCTCCCTGTCCAGTATTTTAATGAAGTTGTTGAGCTCCGGGACCTCGAAGGCATCCCACGCGATGTCCGCCGTGTCGTTCTCCTGAAGCACAACCTGTTTCTCGTCCTCTTCTTCGTCGCACTCGAGTTGTATGACTAACGGCTTCTCCTGATCGCCGATACGCTTAAGTACTGTCTGATCGGTGACCGGGTCTTTGGAGCGCAGGTATAGCGCGAACTTCTGGGGGTTGTCCACCACTTTGAACTTCTTAAGCATGGCTTTGATCACATGAAGACTAGTGTTATCACTCGTGATGTGTATATTCTTGACGGTGTCTCTCGGCATATAAAAGCTGGTGAGTGTCCGGCGCTTAACCGTCCCATTGGTCTCCTCGTCGTTAATGATGTCGTATATAGAGGGCGGCCGACGACCGGAGATGACATTAATGGGTCGACTGAGGTTGAGGTGGACGCGCAGAAAGCCTCGGAACGCCTGATTGGTCTCATCGGTGACAGTGATGCCCAGACCCGACCCCTTTGCCCTTCGCTTCTCATTATATTTATGTATTTTAGACATCAATGACTCGCAGAAGAGCGGCGATGAGGAGCGGGACAGCGCTTGGAACAGATAAGGCGTTTCGCAGACTCCCTGACAGTCGATGCGAACCAACTCTCGACACCGCGGATGACATATGTATTTGCATTGAGAACAGCGCAGGTATTTGCCGTAATGGTGCTCACATAGGGTCTCATTGGGGTTGGTGTTGGCCACCGATGACCACATGAATTCACCGCAACTGTCGCACCAATTGGCAGATAGGGTCTCAATCAGCTGTCAATGCATTTCATATGAATGATAATAAAAGTAACTATTATTACAGTTATAGTGAAAACTACTCATAAAACTAATGATATGACGAATGGTTGCAGAGTTATGGCTAAACAGCAGAAAACAAAGTGATTATAAAAGTGAGCCCAACCTGGAAGTCGTGTCCGACACCACTCTCCTTGTGGTCGATCTCCACGATCCCAAAGTTGGCTAATTCGATGAACTCCAACGACTTGGCCGTCGGGATGAGTGTCCCGTTCAGCAGCTGAGCGACGGGTCGGCCATCGCTCGCGTGATCCACGTTTGGGAGGTTGTGGTGAGCGATGGTCTGGTCTGTCGTCTGTTTATTACTATTACGTCTGCGGAAGGGATTCGTCGACAAGAAGTTCTGGAAGATATTGGTTGGACTGAAGTCATTGATCCACTGCAACGAATTCATTATCGTTTGACTCAATTGTCTTAAGTCGGAGCTGACCACCGATGGAGTGGGCGATGGTGTGGGCCTGTCGTTCACGACCCACAGCTTGTCATTGTGGGGGTGGGCGGTGTGGGAGGGGTTAGGGGTGGGGGCAGTGGGGGTCGTGTTGGAGGCAGAGATGTCTTCATTTGTCTCGTCACTCATTTGGTGCGTTAAGATGTTGTGTCTCTCAATGGATAATCTGTTTCATGAAATCACGTGAAATACAAGCGAAAGACTAATACAAATCAAAACCAGAGAAATGATTGTCTTTTTAGACATCAATTCAAATACAAATGAATAGTATTTACATAAAAAGGCTTCAAATGTGAGAACAGCTGTCAATCACTCATTCACTCGACAATCATATCGTCACTACATTTCATATGAAATATAACTGTATTTTTGACACCAATTTATAAATGCATTCATTTGGTGCTAATATTTGTTATGAAAATTAGTGAACAAAATAAAGTTTAGTCGAGAAATAGGCATTTGATTAGCAAATGGACTGCAAATGACATTAACGTCAAAACAGACTGTTTATGCTTTCATTGCTATTTCGCAATCAATGTGTATGTATGGCAATAGACCGTTAATATAAACCGTGACAAACGCGCCTCAAAATAGTTCCCTCACTTACATACATCACAAAAATGATGGGCGCTTACAGTATTACAACGGCGCCCCTAGCATTAACCCCCTACCCCTCATAGCCGTATGTATTATTTTGTTGAATTATAAGGGGTTTGTGTATACATTTACGGCGGTTGTATTCAGTGATCCAAATGCTATCCAAATGTATGCACTGTTGGCTGTATTGGTACACAAATAACGTGTGGCGCGTATCTCGTGTTGCAATGGCTCACCGACCCATCGCCCAGTCATACACACACTGGCAGTGC